ATGTAGATATAGCCTCAACGGGGTGGGATGCGTCCAAGTTATCGTGTAATTGTCAGGCCCGCCTTTTAATTGATCATATATATTTTCTATAACATCATTTCATCGTGTATACTTTTTAAATGGAAGAATAAATTTTTGAGAATGATTTTATAAAAAATAGAGGAAATTTAGAAGTTAGGTGATGACTTTATTTCACCAACTTTAAATAAATATTTATAAAAAAATTTATGCCTATAATACCCCCCCCCCTCTTATATTTTTTAACGCCTATATACCATCCATCCTAAGTCTAAGTCTCCCTTATAGAAGTATCTTAAAACAAGATTAAAAAACAATATACTGTTTTGTAAAAAATAAAGAGTATAATACTCAATAGAGGGAAAATATTATTATGTATTTTTTAGAATTTAAATGGCTTGACACCACCTAGACCTTTTAACTAATATATAAACAAAATCTAATATACTTTATGACAAGTATACAGCCATGGCTTAAAGCATAGACGAGTGTTGAGGGCGGACCGATTTAGCCGCTTTTTAATAAAGATTTTAGCCAAGATAATATTACCCAATAGATTTCGTTAAAAGATGTCCAAACTTTTCTGTCATTTATACTCAAAGTTTGAATATCTTTGGCTAAAGTATTGTACTAGCCGTTTTTAAAAATCGAGCCATATAATAACACTAGCATGGGCTTTACAGTCATTTGCGCCAAAATAAATTTCTAATTTTAGGCTCCATAAATAAATATTTTTTGAAAGATTTTTTTAAAAAATTTTTTTCCCAAGTTGCCTATGCTGAAAGAGGATTTTCAAAACATATATTAATAAAAATAAACTTAATTAAAGTATGCTAATAACACAGGAGAGGTTAATAGATTATAGATTGTTTTAATAGAGAAAAAATGACATCGTAAACAATTTGAATATTTAAAATTTAGAAAATTTTGCAAATAAAAAAGTCAGAAATTGTTTTTTATTTTAATATTCAAATACTGTATATTTTATTAATTTATTTTATGTAAAATAATTCATTATAATGAAAATTTGAAAATAAGTCGATAAATATTCATCATCTATAATATATGGATATTTATATTATATATGTATATACATAAATAGTTTTTAAATATGAAGAAATTGATAATTTTATATGATATCTGAGTTTTCTAGCTTATATAGAATATTCACTAGCTAATTCAGAAGGGGTAAAATGGCAAATTTATGAAGCAAGAATAAACCAAGCAAGGACTCCACAATTTTTAGGTTTTCTACCTGTATAACTTACCAGCTTAACCCTAATATTTTATTGATTATAATTGTAATGATCGTTCTGATGAAACCATTTTAAATATTCTTACTACTATACCCAAAATTCTATAGCTGATGAGTATGTGGTCGACTTACTATCTAAATGAGAGGAGCCATTTCTACCAAAGAGGGAGGGGGGAAGAAATAGGGATGAAAAGAGGGGAGGCATGGTTTTTTCTAAGTTAATTTTGATGGTGTTTGTTAATGTATTTGAGGGGTATAAAAAAAAAATTTTTTTTTTTTGGGGGGGGGGGGGGTAAAATTGTTTTGCGATGTAAAATTGTCATCAGTAAAATATGGGGAAATAGCCTAGCCTATTTGTGCCAGGATAAATTTAATTGATGTGTATTTCTTTTGTGAAGATTAATTTTATTTAATTCATTTATTGTTTTAATTATCTATTAATTATAACAATAAACATGAAAAATGTTGTTTTATGGGTTAAATTTAATATTTGCCATCTCCCAAGGACTTCCTGGGTGTGAATGATATCGATAAAAAGCATTTCCAATTTTATCTTCAAAATCCGCTGTTTTGAATCTTTAGGCAGCTATAATTTCTCTCACTTTTTAATGAGATTTTATAATAAAATATATATTTCATCTACTTACTGTTATAAGATTATGTAATCATGCCCCAAACATAAATGATGGTTATATTCTTCTAGACTAACACTCTTCTTTACATTGGACGTGCATCCGTAACTATTTTTCTTAGAGCCTACAACTTTACCTATCTCGGATAAAATAGTTTCGGCGGTATGTTTTTTGAATGACATGATGCGTAACCAAGCGACATTAAAATTATTATCTATTTCATTAAATGTAGGTAATATAATTTCACCATCTATCATATTTATTGATAAATTAATTTATAAATCTTTAGAATTTATTTTATTTTTAGTAAAATATTGTTATATTTAATATTTTAGCTACCACATTTCGGTCCACATATCTAAAGCTATAGCAAAAAATATAATTGAATTTTTTAATAATTAAAAATATATTTAATAGTATTTTTCTTATTTATAAATAATATACAAAATAAATATTATAATAATAAAAATATTTATCACGCCCCATCGGCGGCGGGGTGGAGCGTCGATACTTTTTTGGTGGCGGGGTCGGCGTGGTCAAAAATTTTCGGCGGCGGTTTATTGTAGTGGCGGCGCACAGATCTAATTATACCCAAAAATAACTAAATTTATTAACACTTTTTTTCTATAGATTTTTAAAGTTAATTTTAAATACATACCATAAATAATATATCAAATGAAAGCCTTAAACCCTATTCTATGAGTTTTATGAGTTTTATATTATAAGAATCAATATTTTTAGTTTCATTATTTATCATAGTAGGCAAGAGACAATTTGGACAGAGGCACGTCGGACAGAGGTTATTTGGGAGATATATGTAAGGGTAAATCAAATTATTATTTCTAAGTAATTTTCAAATGTGCAAACTTATACTCAGAACAAAAAATATGATGTAATATATCTACCTGTAGCAAAATAACTTGCATATTTAATAAATTAAAGTTTTCAAGTTAATCTAATTTTTTAAGTGGAAAAACAGGGTAAAGGAGCCCGGGGATAGTGTTATCCCGGGGCAAGTAATTTCTTCTTAAATAATTTAAAAACTATTAAACTTTGAGATTTAAAATTTAAGCCAAATGTATTTTAATAAGGGGCTTAGTAGGTCTAAAAATGTTTCACACAAAATTGCTCATGAGAAATTTTAAATGCAGATTTAAATTTAACAAGTCAAGAATAACTTTTTAATTCTTTACCTTTTTACTAATAAATTTGCTTAGAAATGTTAGTCAAACTAAAATTCCATATGATAAAATAAACTCATTTTTATCATGTATAAATATTAACAATATTTATGGTAATTTAACATAATCAAATTAAATTTTAATTAATTGTGGAGACCAGGTGCAAGTTTTGGCGGGGTACGTATTAGCCATTTTTAAGCAGGGATTATTTTAAATAAGAAAAATCCAACTATATTTATAAGAATATTGGAAGCAACTAGTTTGTCTTGGGCTACGAATGGCAATATGAAGATGATTGACTTATTTTTTGTAAATTATATGACAGTAAGTGACAAGTTCTTCCGGGTGATATATTTATAATTTAGATGAACCTGATAAATTTAACATATTTCACATTTTATTTACGTATAAAAAATCTAAAAATAAAGAAGTGGTATGACACGCAACGCGAAAGGATAATACCCCTGGTGTTTTTCATAATCCTTAAATTTTTTTTTTAAATTATATATTAATCAAAAACTAAAAGATTTTTTTCTTAAATATTAATTTCTACCTTAAAAATTTTGGGAAATTTGCTTCGTCTATTTTTTTTAGCCCTTCATTTTTTATGGACAATATAGCCTCGGTCTCCCCTACATTGGATAAGAGGATACACAGGACCACTATAACATAGGACTAGGACCAAACATAAAAATGACTAATTTAATGAATAAAAATATTTTTTATTAGAAGCTAATTTAAAAAAATACATTTTTAAAAATAATTTTTTTATTACCAAAGCTTTTTTGGCAAATGCCACATTTTTAAACATGAAATATATAATTAAATAGAACTATTACGACTAATATCTAAAATTTAATTTAATTAGGCGCAATAACTTATCTAATTATTTACAACACAAGCTGAAGTCTTTTTAGGATTGGTTGTTATTTTATTATTATGGAAAGGATAGAAGAACCACGGATATGCATATGGCTATAAAGGTTGATAAGTCACCCCATATCTTCTTATCTATTTATTCTTTTTTTAATAAAGAATTTACCCTGCTTTCACAGTTAGTGCGAATTTGTGGTTGAGAATACAAAAATACAGCGTATTTTTTATAATTCACTTCGAATTCGCTGTAACTTAGAATGAGGACTCAAGCCAAATTAATAATATTTCTCATATAGATTGAATCCTTATATTTTAAGCTAATTTTCACAAATAAATCAGTCAAAGGCTTTATTTAGTTATATATCTTAGCCTTCTGATTACAAGAGATAGGAAGACATAGAATGGCCAGATGTAGGGTCATCAAAATTGTATATGAACTCATTAAAAGATTAAAAATGGATATTTTTTTTCTTTTTATATAATACGATTAAAATATTTGTTTAATCATAAGTTTTTGAAATTTAGTTGTATGATAAATTGTTTAAATAAAATAGCACATTTTTCCTTCCTCTTCCTATGCCTATTTTTTTTCTTCTTATTTGGTAAAGTACAGGCTAAGTTAATAAATTTATCTTAAATCTTGGCCTAACCTTCGCTTTATTATTTATGCACATTTAAAAATTTATTATCTATTCTTTTACTTTCGCTTATTATTAAATTATATTGATGTTACTTAGGCTATTAGACCCTTCCATAGTTACTTATAACCCTAAAAATATTTCAATGTTTTTAAAAATATTGGAAACTTTATATTGGTTTATTTTAAAGGTCTCCTCCTCTTTCTTTTTTTTGTTATCTTATGAGAAATAAGGAAAGAATAGGAAATGCTAGTTTAACTTTTATATGATGTAGAGTGGTAAATGTTGGCACATTACGAAGTTAATTTTTGACTAGTGTATATATTTTGTAAAATATGTATGCTGTTAAAAATTATCATAAATTTCCTTTTAAGAGTTATATAAATTATTATTGTTAGAACTGTAAAAAAATGTTTATGTTTTATGAAAAAAAATATAGGGTAACATTCAAAACCGATAGAAATTCCTTCGCTGAAACAATAGTCGATGATTGTGAAAACAGTGACAATAAACCTATAATGGCTTCTTGTCCATATTGTCAGCATAGGTAAAGAAGAAAAAAATATACATTTTACCCTTTAATATTTTTCTTTTTATTACCACTCATTCTATTATTGATTTACAACTTAAATTGCTTATTGTATTATATACTATCTATATTTTAAAGATTTTTTATGTATATTAAATGATGGAAAAATTACTGTTCTTATTAGCTATCATCATTTAGTAAAAAAAACTCCTTATAACACTTTCCAATAAGTGTTGAAGAAAATCATGGGCAAATATAAATGCGAATTATGTCTTTAGAATATTTTTTTAGCTCACTTATAAACTTCTCACATTATAGAGATTAAAAAAAATTACTTGTGTATATAAAAGATAATACGCATATACAAGGCTAAGATCTTGATGGGGGGAGGGCCCTATTATAAAATTTATTGGAGGGTTTTTAGGCCCACATAATGTATGTCACGCATTCAAATAATTAATAATTTTTTCCTTAATACTTTGAATTTATAGTCATTATTTTTTCATTTAAAATTAGTTGCTTATAATTGACATATTTTTTTTTTTTTAACGGGAAAAATCTCTCTTTATTTCAATAGTTGCTGATATAATATATTATCAAAAGTTTATAGTAAATAATAAATTTTTTTATATGGTAAAATTAATAAAGGTAAAAAAAATATAAAAATATAATTTGCGAAAGAGGGTAAGGGATAAAAGAATGGAAGCTAGGAAAGAGAAGGGAGAGAGAGAGCATAGACATAGGAGATTATTCAATGGAAGAGATGAAACTTAGGTAGTTAGAGCGAATGATGGCGGTAGCAAGTCTTTGTCGTAAGAAAAGGGACTCTTTAGGCTGATCGGCTTTTTCCCGAATCCGTTTGCCTAATTCTTTAAAAAAACTTAGAGCTTTGCTACCGAAGGTGGTTAAGAGTAGAGCAGGCGATAGGTATGAATAAGAAAGAGGGGTCTATGGAACTATATTTGATAGTTTTACGAGTTTCTGCTAGAGCGAGGGCATCGACGTTGTGGTTGGATGGTGCATTTGGGTCTATGCAGGTGAAGTCCCAGACTAGTAGCTGGCCCCTTGACCAAGGAATCAAGGACATTCCATCAGGACGTTTTCCGTCGGATCTAAAAATGCCGGTCGGTTCAAGTCTTGATGGAATGCCTGCGGATTTGAGAGCGCGCAATATGATGTCATTGCAATTGGTGTGCCGTGGAAAACGGCCTCGGCAAAAGCGGCAATGGAGGCAATGTCTGCCCTTACGATCGACGCTGGTTTCGCAGTGTTTGCATTGGTATGGTAGAACAATTTCGCAATTGAGCCGTAATCCAATGGCAAATCTTAGCTCGTCAGCGGTCAGCAATAAGTCGAGGTTGTTGGAGAAATTGGAAGTTGTGATGGTTGGGGGAACGGATGTAAGAGGACTTTTTTTTATTAGCTTTAAAATGATATTTAAGACAATAATCATATGCAATGACACCCTTCTAGTGAGAGCCGGAAACCTTTTTAGGATTCCTATATTCAATTCTTCTACTAGATTTACACATTTAAGATGTTCATTACTTTATTATATTAAAAAAAATTTATCGAAAAATATCTTTTTTTTCTCATAATATTTATTTATTTTTTGAAATTTGATGTGTTTCTATTTAAATCGTTTAATTATCCAAATAAAAATTTGATACACGCTCAAATTAACATTTAAAAAAATTTTATTTTTATCGATTTCCGTTATAATAATTTTGTATTTTATTTTTAACTCTCTTATAAACATTCATTTTTTCATTTTGCGAATGGCTATCATAAAGTAAATAAATTTTATTTAAAATTATGATATAAAATTCAAAAATGATTTTTTATTCTTTCCCTTTAATTCAATCATAAATAGTTTAGTAAGAATTTCCTAAAAATCAGAAACCTCTTGATATAATTAATTATAAACCGTTGCTTCTTTCTTTACCATTCATTGATATCTTCACTCAATCAATTTTAAAACATATTTATAGCTATTTTCAATAGTTTATAACTCATTAACTTAATGCATGTTTGGAAAGTTTCAGAATTTTTCCCAATTTTCTAGGACACTTCTTCTTCATCCTTAGTTAAGTTTACATTTATTTATTTCACTTTATTTATCACATTCTTTCTTTCTCCGACAAAAATAAATATGTCTTAGACATTGGAGCCTCTCACTTAACTTTAAAATGGAAGTACCTTTAAATAAGAAAGAAATTTTTAGAAAATAATCAGAAAAGATAAAAAAATATTATAATCGACATGTTAAAATTTTTACAAACTTTATTTATGTTTGTTGAAATGAAACAATGTTTAATTGTTTTATGGTAAAAAAAATGAAGTAACTATAAATAATTATATAATGGGGTTTGGTGGTTAGTGGTTTATTGGTATGTATCCCGACTAACGTCGTTGAGTCATCATTCTTTAGCCAGCTTCAAAACTGCTTATTTAAATTATTATAAAGAAAATAGTTCCAATCTTTAAATTGAGGCTTAGTTTAGATGTTCAAATAAATTTTATATGCTAAATGTTTGGTTAAGGAATATTGGACTTGGCTAAAATTAGAGGGTTTAATAACATTAATTTCAATTCCAACAAAATAAATAAATAAAAAATTCTACCCGATATTTATTTAAATTTAGTATTGATTATTTTGCACTCACGAAACTTTTAAAAATAGACGAGTAATTTCTATATTTTATTTTGTATTACACTTTTATAATATCTATAACTAAAGTTTTGTGTTGCAGATAACTTCAACAGTGAACATTATTAAATTAGAAAGCAAGAAATGCTTCGAGTAAATATACAGAATATGCATAATCTCCCTCTTCCAAAAATATCTCAAGGCTCTCTCTATTGTCAATAGAAAACGATTTAATAAATTTTTAGTTTTCAATTTAAATAAATTATTTCATTTGAATTATATTATTTACAGTAAAAAAAATAATACTATATCAACAAATTATTATCTAAAATTCGATTATCTTCGGATTGCAAATTTAGCAATCTACTTTTAATTATATATATATATATATAATTAGTTTTCTTCAGTAATAATTTAAACAGTCATAAAAGACAATTTATTTACATTAATTTTTAAATTTAAAAAATCTAATTATATTAGATTTTTTTTATCTTTAGGAAACATTTTATCGTAATATTTAATCTCTGAATAAAAAATAATAACAATAGGGTTATCGATTAGATTTTAAAATATAACTTTCTTATATTATATTTTTCAAATATAAAAAAATATTTTTTTAAAACTAGCATAGATGCTCTCTTATTAAAATCTCGCATAAGGGTTTCCACTATAAAAGATCCCTTCCGAACAAAATTTGCCGCTGTAACCCCTAATAATATTTATCGTCAACCATTATCATCTACGCCTCATCAAAAATATTTCACAGATTGTTTCAACAATTATCACAATCCTAAATCTAAACCACGGCTTACCATAAACAATACAATCAACTCTACCTGTAACCGAATCATTCCGAACTATGATAATAATACAAAGAAGATATCAACACAGTTAAATTGTTCCGACATTAAAACATATCCATTTAATTACACGCCTACTACGTTAGCCAACAATACACATAATCTAGTCAATTATTTTAATAACCATCACAAGGAAGTAAGTAGTAACGGATATAAACTTAAGTCTCAACTCAAAAAAAGTGATATTAATAATCTATCCAAAAACTTAGTCACTCCGCTTAGTTATCAACAAGATAAACGGAACAAATTCTCAAACTATAAAGATATAATTATATGCAAAAAACCCAATTATAACAATCCATCAAATAATCACAGTTTAGATAGTCATAATCATATAACTAAATTACGATTTATGGAAGATTCCAGTACCAATGCTCAAAATATATCACTTCCTGAGGAACAATACATTCGATTTCCTTTCAAGTTTCCATTAAAATTTTATTATTAATTATATATATGGCTACATCCACAATCAATGTAGATATTACTCCCCTCAAGAATATTATCCATACCCCTAATCTAAGTTTCCACTCTCACCAAATTAAAATTAGCATAAAAAAGGAAATTCAAATCAAATTTAGCTAAAAAAGGGAAAATAAAAATTATAAAAAAAGGAAATTCGAATATAAAATATTTTCTTAACTCCTCCAAGTTAATTGAATATACGATAGACTTTCGTAATTACCTACCCTCCTCTATTTTAAGGCAATCATGTGTCATACCCCTCCCCCGACGTATCAAGGTCCTTGCTTGATTAAGTAAAATATAATAAATCATTTATTATATAGTTATTAATCACATAATTGCTATCATCAAGACCTGTTTCTTAATTAGATGGGAGGAGGGTAGTTTTGAAACCGATCATTATAATGTGTCTGAAAAGAGGAACTATATTAATAAAAGAGTTATGTTAAAATAAATTAATTTAATTTTTTACGTTATTATCATGTTACTGCTTATATTAATAATCTAATTAAAAATATATAATAATCGATGTTTAAACTATTCAAATGTTACTTAATACAGGTTTATGTTTTATAATAAATTTTCTTAATATATTCATATTTTTGTTTACTAAAATAAAATAACAATAAATAATAAATAATTATTAATATAATCATGTATGAGTTTTTACTCCTTTTTATATTCTTTTTTTAAAGTTATTTTTAAAAATTATTCATATTTGTATTTGTTATTTTTATTCATAAATCAACAAATACTTATTATTTTTCTAGTGGAGGAATATTAATTTTCTTCAAACATTTGTTTTTGTGCTTGCTCACATTTTAATAAATTTATGTCACAAACATTAATTATAGATAGAGTCTATGAAAGGTAAATTAATGATTTTCTTTATATTTTGTTATACTTAATAAGCACATAATATTTTGTTATATTTATTTTTTTTTAAATTATAATTAAATGATGAGATTAACACAAGCTTATTGGATTTATTTTTTTATAAATATATTTAGGCTTAATATTTTAATTTACAAATCCATTACTAATTGTTCATTATAAAAAAATTTTTTTTAGAAAAGTGTTAAAAAATATTCTTTAATTCTCTTAATCTGGATGTGAGCCATTTTCATTTTTTAAATATGATTATTACACTAAACTTAGTTCTATGAACAAACTGCCTATATATAATTTAATTTTTAAAATTTTATTGTTCTTTATATAAACATTTTAAAGTTACTTTATTATTAATATCAAGGTTATTTCAAAAAAATTATAATTTTTAAATGATAATTTTTCTAATTTATGTCTATTGTCTCTCCACCATTTGAAATAATTATAATTTTCAATGATATTTTTTTTATATATTATAGTTAATTGTTTCAGTCAATTTACTAACAATTAACTATTGCCAAATATTTGATTTCTTATTTCAAAACATAATCTAAAATATTTTATCATGGCTAATATTACTTATATTTTTTAATTTATAAATATTAATTATCATTTTTTGGTTGGTAGGGTTGTTAAAAAGCTCGATTTAGGTTGATTTTTAAAAATAACCTGATTGTTTTGGCCAACATAATATTATGTAAACCTGGAGATTTTGCTCATAGGTGGCAGAAAGGGTTGGATCTTGCCAAATCTCGAGGCTTTGATTATTTTGGCTAAAATCTTAATAAGGTCATTTTTAAAAATTGACTTGAATTGGGCTCTTTAACAACCATAGGTATTGGCCACATTGAAAATTTAAAGTATTGGCTTTTTTAATTTAAGTGTGAATATTGGTTTCATACAAAGTATCAGATCATCTCTGCTTTTTTGTACATGTTTTATTTAAAATACCAATGGATTTAAAAGAAGTTATACAAGCCAATCAATTTTTATAAAATAAAATATAACCTTATCTAAATAGATTTAAAATATAACCAAATTTATTATATAAAATAGAATAGAAGTAGTGGGAAGAAGATTAGAAAGGAAAAATTAAGTAAGGAATTTCAGGTAGGTTGACCTTGATAAGATATGATTTAAAACAAAACTTTGGGTCAGTTGAATTTTCTTATTTAGGCTTTAAATATTACTTTAAATTATTCAAACTGATTAATAGAATAAGTGGATAGTTTTCTTTTAACAATTAGGATCAATTGAAGTAATCATATTTAATTTCAATAATTTATAACTTCTTTATAACCTGATATAATTTAAGTTTATTTATTTTGGATTATACCTATACCTTTATCATAATATTTTTTTCATATAAGGATTAAAAGTTCAATAATGTTTGAAATTGATTCATTTGCGCTTATTTAATGGATATTTTATCATGAACAAGAAAAACATACTTAACTGATTCTTTTGAGACAATGATGATTAAAAAAATAACTCATTTACAAAAAAAAATATTTAGATCCTTCATTACCTGAACTTCTATTTATTTAAGATTAGTTGAAAAATTTCTGTCATACCTAATAAAATAACCACCCCATTTCTACTCTGATAAGATAATATACATAATCTTTTAAACAATAAATATAAGGCTCTTTCTTCTTTAAAGTATCTTAATCTTTGTTCTAATATATATCCTTTCATTTAAATGGATGTCATGATAATCAAGTAGATTTCTTTTGATAATATTATTTGTTGAGAGTTGGCTAAATTAATATATTTTTGACTTGATTTTATTTTACATTGATGAAACAAGGATATCATCATTTTGCCGATTACCAGTCTCACATTCAATAAATTAAGAGAGATTTAATATTTCTTATATTTTTATGTTTGGGATAGGATAACCTTTAATATATGTTTGTTTAGAACCTGGATGTTGAGATGAAATGGGAAGGATATTTTGATAATTTAATGGCCTATTTATTCCAGAGAATTTGATTGGCCATAAAATACAAATATAGATTAAGAATATAGAATATGGTTAAAGAGTACTAGTTTCTTTTTGAATCGCACGTTTTAGTGTCATTTTTTTGGCTAAGATATTAGAGGTTGGTCCTGCCTGAAGCTTTATGGCCAGTTGGACAACTTGGGGGCTATATATTTGTGGACTGGCCTGAAGTTTACAACTTTTTAAAGCTTACAATTAGGCAAATTTATGATTTTTCCTCTTAGTAAAAATTATTACGAATCTGACCAGACTTGTACATATTTTATGGGTTGGGATAAAAAAAAACTCTTTCAAAATTTTGTTGGGTCAGACCCTCCCGCATCAATCTCCAATTGACATGACATTTTTTAAATTTAAAATGAAAAATGATGAAGAACATTTATAGAAATATAAGTAAGAAATTTTTTTTAAATGCCCAATGATTAATGATGCAAAATCACTCCATTTGAGCCGATTTTTAAAAATGGCTAACTTAATATTTTAGCCAGAAAAATATTGCCTAACCCTCAAGATTTGGATAGTAGATGTAAAAACCTTTGTGTGATATTTTTCTAGATAATATACCGAGTTAGTCGTTTTTAAATATCGGCTCAGATGGGGCGATTTTGCATCACTACCAATGATGATGTTTGAATTCTAAATTATATAATAAAATAACATAATAAAAATTCAAAAATAAAATAGTAAGATCAATCAACCTAACTCGTTGAACACATAAATTTAAACTCAAGCCAAATCCCCTACCCCTTTCCCCCTCTCTTCGTAAAATAATTTTAAAAAATTAGAAATTCTTAGGTATATGCCTTTTTAATATCAGTTTTTGAACTATATGCATAAAGATATATGCGGCCTACCCACTAACTCGTAAAGGGCTCGTATAAAGTTTTCCCATATTTCTTTTTAATATCCAGTTTGGTGGATATGGAATACCTGCTTTGTTGTGCTGACAACAATTAGAGGGCGATTCGCTTTTAACGCTTATCACGTGATGAATTGACATATTTTTTCTTTATTTATAGTTTTTGTTATTTTCAAAATTAAGTTCATATGAAATAAATAACATATTAGCGTTTTTTCTAAAATACATGGTAAATTCTTAATTAAATTTTTTTTAACACCTAAAATTATTTTAATTAAATTCCTTAAAAAGGCAAATTTTGTATAGGCCAAGTTTAAAAACTGATTTATTTTCCTTAAACAATCATTTGATAAAGATATAACCGTTTATCAAAATAAAATATGTTACTTATTTTATTTAAAAGTCTATCGAGTAATTGAATCATTTCTTAAATTATCTATTTATTTTTTTGATAGCCAAGAGAACGGGGGTCCTGGATCCGAAAACCCTTTCAGTCCTCGGAGGGCCTTATTTCTCGAGGCTCAACCCATAGTAGAAGCTTACAAACGGGGTTTTCCTCCGGCACAACCTCCGCCATCTGTTTGTATCAACGTAGGAGATGATGCCAATTTGAGTGCCGCCATTTTAAGCAATTCTCTTAAACAACTACCCCCTCTTTCTCCGCAGTCTAAGCCCTCTCACAAAGAAATTACGGGCAAGGTATTTTTCGTTCTTACACTATACATTACTTACATTACATATCTATATTATGAAATTTATTAAAATTTACATGCACTTAGTCTGATTCTTTGGAGGATGTTGACATATAGGGTTTTATTCTATGATATTTAACTCTTATTCATTTACCAATTAAATTTCCACATATTTGATCCCGAGGGGTGAAAATCTTGCCCCACCTTCCTTATATCGTAAATAATGATTTCTTTTAACAAATGAAGTTGCTTAAATTTATTAACTGAATTTAATTTTTTAAATACTGTTATAAAACAAATATTCGCCCTCTTCCTTATCTATTGTTCGGTTGCATATTTTCCTTTTAAAAATTAATTAGCTCTGGTATAAAAAAAATTTTTGTATTCTCATCTCTAAAAAATTTTACGGCCTAAAAAATTACCATATAAAACGATTTCTAATATTTTAATTCAATATTCTGTTTATGGAAAGAAAAATTTTACTTCTTTTTATATAAAAGAAATTTAAAAAAATATATTATTAATTAACTATTACATTTAAAAATTTGAAATTATAAAAAATTAATTACTAGGATAAACAATACATCTAAATTAAAGAGTGGTAGCACACAAATTTTTATTTAGGATAAGTGGAGAATAGATTGTGTGGAGTGTGAACCCCTATAATTAATTTTTTTTAAATAAAATTTTATATACATCTGCGGAGTATTTTTGTTCTATCTCCATTTTTTTTATAATTCTTTTATAAGCGTATTTAAAAAAAAATTCTTATATTTTAGATAGGAGATCCCACCATAATAATGCAAATAAAGGATTATTCAAAATTAATTTTAAAAATTTTATTTGTGATAAGGGAAGAATAAAGTACTGAAGGATCTATAACACAGCCGACGCTATTTAAATTGTTCGATTTTCATTTAAAATATGGCCCCATTACTACTTGATTTTGAAGGCTTTGTTGTTAAATAATAAAGTACCTTAAAAATACTAAAAATTTGACGATTTTCTTGGATTATTTGGTGGGGATCTTTATTTTCAAATTATTCTATTATTTTTGATATATAACAAAGATTAAATTTTTTTACTAAATCAAGGCACAGAATAAATAAGAAAAATTAAACAATGCATTATGCAAAACTTTGCAAGGTAGGGTATTAACTAAGCGAATACATTTATGTTGCAGATTTTTAAACGTCCCCAACTCTAAAGTTGATTCGAATATTATGGGGGTCAAAAACCTGAAATTTCCATAACCAGGAATCTTTTTTATTAGATGAGTTATATTAAAAGTTCAAATTTAAGCTTTGACACATTTATTTTTTAAGATAATTATATATTTTTTTAAAATGCAATGTCCATTTTTAATACATATACCCTAACCCATATCGCTGTTGCCTTCAATCCTAACCTTTTCTAGCGATATTATTTTTTAAAGAGTAATAAATTTCTTGGTTATGGGTGGATCATCAAATGAATAAGGGGAGGGGGCGGGTAAACATCCTCTTTCTGTTTCCTAAACTCGAATCAGCCAATGTTAGTCTATAATAATTAAGCTTAAAGCTAATATGCTAAATTCATTTTCAAGGATGAAACGAAAAAACCCGCTATCACCCCTTCCTCCGCTCACTCAGTTACATCGCCGTCCGCCAATACTCATCCTCTATCCCAAAGCTCCTCTCCCCGCAAAAATCAGTCCGTAGTAGGGAACGGAACGGCCGGAAAAATGGGCGATTCTTTGAACAAGCGGGTCACGGCCCAAACTATCATGGTACCTAGCGGGGATCCAAAAGCAATCTCACCAGTTGTTCAAACCGTTTTACTCTCTAAGAAGGGGAAGATTGTGGTCGAAAATGGGGATGGAATAGGTAAGACCAAAACTAAGAGCAGCGTCGACGGGGCCGAGAAAAGTGATAAGGTGAAAAAATGCTGCCTTATTTTATAACGGCACCAAGATAAATCGATTTATTCGCGCGAGGAAAATATGTGGCAAAAAAAATGGGATGTTATTCGTTATTTTGTTTTAATTATTATTTTTAAAGGATATATATGAAAAAAATAGCTTATAATTTCACAAAATACTATGCGCCTATTTTGTCAACAACTCACCCCTTTTTTTTAAAAAAAACATAGATCACCTATTAATTGGAGGAGGGTATCATTACCTGAATCATCATCATAAATATGAAACCATCGTTTTGCATTTCTCTTACTCCACCAAAAAAATATTTTTTAATCTTTCGCTTTTTTTTAAAATTTAAATAAAACAATATTTTTAAACTATATTATTTATTTATTTATTTCGAAAGCACATGGATGAACCCCTTTCATGTAAAAAATTTTTTTTTAACGTTCGATATCACTTATCCAATCCCATTGAATTTTGATTCCTCTATACTCTACTCGAAAAAAAAATTGAAGATTTTCATATTTTTTTAATATTTTTATTTATGTATTTAATACATAAAATAAACATTAAAAAAAATCGATATTATTACTTATTACAAACAAGAATATACAAAATTTAAAAAAAATAACCCATGCCATATAACGCATAATTATGACTTTATTTCATATTTTATTTGTCATACAAAAAAATTTTTTTATGATTTATTATTATTTAACAAAAAATGTATATGGTTTAATTTATTGCAAGAAAAAGGCAGACTTTGTTTCAATGGTTCTTTGAACTTATTCTTTGTTTGCTATTTAAAAAAAGAGCTCAAGCCATGTCCTGGTTTTTTTTTATTTTTCAAACTTATTTTTGTTTAAATCACTATTCAGATTTTAAACTAGAACACACTATTTCATCATAAGTTTATACTAGATCTAAATAGCCTTTTAAAAAATTATGTTTAAACTGGCCACATTTATTTTTTGGAAAATTTGAAGCTAATGAATTTAATTAATCTAATTTAAATGTTCTGCTATTGATAAACATTTATTACCTATCCCGATATCTCATCAACTTTTCACTTCGTTTTAAAAATAAAATTGTAATTTCTACTTAAATGCTTTAATTATTTCAAAATTTTTTTTTGAATTTTTTTTTATATAATTTAAAAGAGATTATGATAGTTATGGAGCATATGTGCAATCCCCCCCCCTCTCCTTCCATTTCATTACCACAAGACAAAGGGAAAGAATTTAAAGAATTTTTTTTTAAAAAAGAAAGATTTTTAGCAAATATTTTTTTTTCTTAACGTATTATAAATAAATATAGCTTCTAAGAATCTAATTTATGAATATAAATTTAAGCCATGACTAAATGCACCCCCTACCCTCCTACAATTACTAATATTAATTATAATAGTATAACGCTTATATATCCCAGGCCTTACAAAAATTGAATTTGCTTCATATTTAGCCATATTTTTGATTGTCTACAAATAGTTTTATTTTTACTTAAACTTTAACCATCCCATATTACTCCATTTTTCGTAATTTTTTGCTAAGCTTAGAAATAAATGCCTTAAAACGAAAATGAGTAACTTCTAGATACTATTATATATATATATATCGCAACTAACTTATAAATAACTATATTTTCACAATATACCATGTCGATATTGTAAAAAAAATTTTTTTTTAAAATATGTCAGTTTATGAAATATTTTATTTGTGAATTGATATATTTTTAGATTAATATTTGTCATTTTTTAAAAAAATATATCATTTTCTTTTTTTATACACAAATTTTTTTAACCATTTGGCCACTCAGAATGAATAGATAATATTGTGAAATATTTTAAATTCGAAGATGATTTGTATAATAAATATTTTTTTATGAAATATATTTATGTATATATTACTTTTAAAAAAAATAAAGTTTATAATTCATTATTTAATAATTATAGATTTGTTTTACAAATATGCATCATTTACATCGTTAACAGTGTATTACTAGCTGAAATCGCATTTTACTCTAAAAATTTATATATTTTTTATATATGAAAATAGGTTCTACTTATCTTTTTAAAATAAATTCTTTTCCGCGAGATGACGTCTATAATGACATAAATTCTAACATAGAATGGGATTCATTCTTTAAATAAATGGACTAAAGTATGCATATTGAAGTCCGCTATTGAAAGGCATTTTACCACAGCCTATAATATTTACCACGGCTGTAGACTCCAGCGTATTTACACTTTTAAATTGTGAAATCTATATTGTATTTTTTTTGTAATGTAATTGGGCATAATATGTAGGTAACGAAATACAATAAAAATTGAAAGAAAAAATTTTAATGTAAATTTTGGGCTTTTGTTTTTATATTAAAATTATTATTTTTAACAATAATTAACAGACCTTTATGGATAAAAGTTGTTATCGGCCTTAAGTAATCGAAGCCTTTCTATTTTTAAGGAAGCGCAAAAAATATGGCTTTGAAATGCAACACTACACTATAAATAAAGTAAATCAACTATGAAAAAGGAATTGCGCTAAGTATTACTAACTAAAGACTTAATATAAATTCAATTTTAATAATAAACTAATTTTTGATTGCTTAAGAAGGACTTAAATAATTTTTGTGCATTTTTTTGAAGTAAATATTAAATTGGATTATATTAAGTTTCCCGGGGAAAAATTTTTACATTTGTAAATTTTTAAGTAAAATTTTTTAGGGAACAAAAACAGAAAATGACTACAATGCGCTCATTAATCTAAATAACTATTGAAGACTTGTTTGTATAACCTTAAAAACTCCTTACGAGGTGGATTTAAATGTCTCTTCTTTCATTTAGTTTTATTTATTGACTCTTCGCACATCATACAAAGTTAATCATCCAGGAATGATTCATAATAAAACACTTAATTATCTAAAATATTGTGCTAATGGTATTTAAATTTAATAGTGTATTCAAGAAAGTATTGTATTATCAATTTTACATAACTGACTATATTATCACTATACCAACTACAGTTCCTATTAAAAATATTTGAAAGTATGCATTTATTAATGATGTTAATATTAATGGATTTATTAACAATTAACATTTTCGTTGTTGAGTATAATTTAAATTTTTCATTAACTATAATGTAAATTACATTTTTTTTTAAATAATATTCTTCAAGATTTAATTTTAAATATTTTTTTAAGAATTAAATTTTTAAAAAGTAAAAATATAATCGCCTTTATGTTAATATTACCTTTTTTTTGTTCAACTATGGGAAAACAAGGCAAATTAGAAAAAGAATTTTTTTTTTATTTAGTAATCATTTTTATATAGATTTCATCAAATAGACGGTATAGTAAAAGAAAGGGGAAAAAAGGTCTAAGGCTGTGTCTTAGGTCGGCTTAATACTTAATAGCCTGCTATTTGGCCGTCCTGTATCTTAGGTCGGCTTAATACTTTATAGCCTGCTATTTAGCCATCTTTTAAGTAACGGCTAAAATAGCTAAAAAAGCAAAAGAAATTTTTTTTAAAAAAATGAAAAAAAAGATATAACCAAAAAATACGAAAAATAGAAATGCAACCAAATACTTAAAAAACCCGAAATGGGTATACTCGATCAAAAACTTTTTAGTCTATACTAAAAAGCAATTAAGTATCCAAATTAAGCCGACCTAGGACACCCTAACTATTTATGTTACATTTAAGCATTTAATCGATAAATATATTAAATGTATTCTAAAGCTTAATTTTTGTAGCTAGGGAACCTTTTTTCTAAAATAATATATATCGATTTTTAACACAAGAGTGTTGATATATTTGAAATGCGTTTATTTAATTTTTTAATCTAGAATCCATTCTATTCAGACAACTCTCTAGAATTCTTAAAAGAAGATAAATAACTAACAATCCATTTCATGGCCCTTTTTTTTGTAAAACGAGATGCTTTTTGATTATTTTTTTAAAAAATATTAATTGAGGACTAAAGCAACCCCTTATCGTAAAGCCCAATATTTTTTTTTAAATTTAAATTGCAACTGGAAATAGAGTTTTTTTTATGAATATTAAAACTTGAACAACTCCGATTTCAGTTTTGAAATAGAAGCGATAAAGATTCTTTTTAAATTTAACGCTCTTAATTAAATTTTAATAAATTGAAATCAATTTATTCAATAACTTTGATCTTCCAATCATAAAATTTTTTTTTATTTTTTTTTGTAAAAGAGGGATGACAATAAAATATGTCTTGCATTTTTTAAGCAGCTTTACACGCATATACAGTTCCGAGTTAGGACTCGTGGTAAGCAAAAAAATTTCGCCCAAAATGACATATTCTGCCAAGAACCCATTTGTATTACCCTTTAGTTTATTTTTGTTTTAGCAAAATATATTAAGGCTCATAATTCAAATATATTTATACATGTTACTTAAAGTAAAAGCTGGAAAATAAATTTATCGGAAGTTTATAGCTTAACTAGATGTCACGCAATAATGATTTTAATAATGTATATCATCTTGAGGTAAAGTTGTTTTGGGTAAAAGGGGTTAAAATGTTCCATCTGATTAGCTGTATAGAAATAATTTTTAAATATTTATGTTTTCAACCATATAAAAACATATTTGTGAGCAAAAGTAAATAGTTTGTGTTATTTGGAATAAAATTTTTAAAAATAGTCACAAGTTGCCTAAAATGAGGACACTCAAAATGTGCTATTTTTGATAAAAAAAAATTACATTCCCATATTGAATTGATTAACTGATAAATAGATACCAAAATTGCAAAATTATGTTTAATTTTATTTTAACTGGTTATGTGGGTTGTTTTTTATGTTAAATTGTGAATTCATTCATTTTTTTGGATAAATTTTTTTTAATTATTATTTTGCGCATTCATTCTTTTAATATATTATTATTATTGTTTGTAAAAGAAATAAAAAGTAGTAATTATAAAAATTGTCTATGTCCATATGTTTGTAAATTATTTATATTAATCAATTTATATTTATTTTGTAGTAGATAAAAAAGAGAAAAAAATGAAATAAAATTGTTGTTTTCCTTCCAAAATTATTTTGTCTTCAATATTTTTCCGATTATAGTTCTTCAAAATTTTATCCCTTGGGAAAATTTTCAGAATGGTGGCCAGTAGCCAAAATAAAATAAAGGTAAATATAAATATAATTACTATAAAAGGAAAATTGAGAGAATATAAACCTAAGAAAACCACCGATCCCCTTCAGAATAAATTACTCCCCCTATAAAATTTAATCATTCTACCCTGATGTTTAGCCATTTTACCCTGGGTATGGGATATATTGGCGAGGCACACTACATATAATATGATTAATTATAGCTTCTTTAATCATCAACGGTAGAGTTACACCTATTTATTTTGTTGACGCGATATTGGGCAACATATAAATCTATAATTTGTTCAGTTATGTATTTGTTTCAAAATTTTATGGTAAATACCAATCGTTTTACCCTGGTCTCCCCTAGATATTTGTAATTATAAATATTTAAGTTTAATATATAAAAATCATGAGGATGTCATTGAAATATTATAACCTAATAAATTGAAAGCCGAACTGCCTTTGTTATTATCCTGAATAGGCTTTTGTACTGGCTTAAGCTATAAAATTTTTTATCATAAAGAACTTACTTTTAGAAGTCAAATAGAGCTAATAAAAAGTTTTTTAAAAAAACCTTAGGTAAAAATCAATTTATAAAATGCCTTTTTAAAAATATGTTTCAAAAACAGCAATTACATATCGTAACGTAATATATAACTGTTTTTGTAAACAAAATGAATTTCAACATTTCATATCTGCTTAGCATTTTCATTTAAAGAACTTCAAAATTTTTAATTTACAAATAATATTATGATTATTTTTATTTTTAAATTGATTTTATATCTTCCTTTTTTTCTATGCTTAAGGCTTTGGATATATTTATTTATTTTTAAACAAGCAATTAGTTATAAAAAAAGGTGAAATTTGTAAATTTCTAAGTTATTTTAAATTTAAAATACAAAAAACTTTTTTTTAAATGTATAAAACGATAATATATTTTTTACTTCTGACAAATCTGGTAAATACTCAAATCCACATTATACCCTTTGAACAAGTAATAGAGGTTCCCTATATCATACCTTACGACGTTAACAGTTTTAACAATGTTATTCAACCGACTAAAGAACCTGAAAGCCGTATATCTGGTGAAATTAAGGAATCCGTCTGTGCAACTCAAGTGATAAATTTCATTCAAACTTACGTGGTTGAAAACATCCATAGAATACTCGGCATTTTAAACGACATAACAGCTAATGTCGAAAATTTGAGTTGTCAAAATAAGTTTGACCCTATAACAAATCACCAGCTGAATCCGAAAATCGATGGCCCAAATTTGACCTCCATTATATCTGGTATTTATTTTTTTTAAATTTTATAAATGTGATGAAAATCATTTAAAAATTAATTTTTTTAAAAAAATATTTAAATTATACAAGATTTGGGGAATATACTAACCTCTACAAATATCAATGATTTAATAAAGAGAACGACATTGCCGATCATCTCACCCGACATAGATGAATCAGGGGTTCCTTCAACATTATCTCCGATTGATATAGGAGAGGCTATTAAGCCAAAAGAAGTTACCCATGCCCAAATTATACCAGAGGTATTTACAACTACATCACCCGTAATTACAACATCTAAAAATCTTGAAACCGATCTTTCTTGTGACAAGATTACAAATACAACTCAAGATGTTCAAATATCGGGGAAATTATTCAAGGATTTATTTATCGTAAAAGAAAAATCGGGGTTATTCGCCAGATTCGGTTTGAGCGATCAGGGGCTCAACTGGCGCTATTTTAACGAAATCCTTAAAAACGTTATTATTGAACTACTATCCCCGACAGACCTTAAAAATATAGAAACTTTGATTTCAACCCTTTACCCATCTTCTGCCACCGATTTAAACAAGATAATTAAGGTTAAAAGCGATATTTTTTTGGGCGTTCAAAATCGGGATAGTAAAAACCCTTCTAAACTAATAGTTCGTAATTTGAGATCCTACCCAGAATTATTCAAAGACGAGAAAATTTGCCTTGACCTGTCAGTCAATTCTGAACTAACCAGGTATTCCCTTACTACTGACAGGATGAGAGTTAGGTGTTTTGGTTCACCTAGAGGAAATAGCTGCGGGAAATGTGGGTTGCCCAAAAACCACGAAGTTTCGGATCCCGTCATAATTAAAGAAGTTTTTATGTGGCCGAGTTCTAAAGGGGCTTCGATTCCTGATGATCAATGGAGAAGAAATCAATACGTTTTTAGAGGAACTTTCTACCACATATTCGTCAAATTGCGAGATTGTTAAAATGTGGGATGAAATTTTTTTTTGTAAATTATATATTTTTTTACATAGTTATTATACATAGATTTTAACATTATGCAGCATTACAATTTTTTTTAAATTAAAGTTTATAAAGAATAAAGGATTTTAATTAAATGATTGTCTAATGTTTTTTTTCCGTTTTTTTTTAAAAATTATTGCAACATTTATAGTTTAAGAATTAACAGGTAATTTACAGGGAATCAGCTTTCTAAACTTCCTTTTCCCCAACTAAGCCAATGATGTTGGGATTCATTTAATGATTAAAAACTTTTGAATTAATCACCCTCCCCCACGATATTTTAATGGCGACATTGTATAGTGCCTACGTGTTGGAAAAATGTAAGAAGGAGGTGGTACAAAGCAATGATATCAGTATAATTTTAGGTAGGTTTCTAGATCCATATCGATTTTTAACTGGATAGAATATTTTATTTGTATGGTGGTTTATCATGCAGCTACAAATGTTTTCTATTATTATTAATATATTTATTAAAATTAATCTAATTTTTAAAAAAAATCTATCTAAAGAAATTAATACATTTTTCTAAATGGGTTTTGTCAAAAATTGTGGGCTATTTTAGAAAAATAGGATGCTAACCATTTTTCAAATTGAGACTTATTTTCCAAAATTGGCAATGCAGATACCTAATGAAGCGCCTGCTAGAATCAAAACATACTTTTTTTTAAAAAAAATAGTTAATATAGTAGTCACTATTTTAAATTTACAAAAATAAAAAAAAATTGAATGAGTTAACCAATATTTAGTCAAAACAAAATATTATATAAAAAAATAAAAATGTTTATATGTAAAGTTATTTATTATTTAGGAATGTTATTAAAATAATCAACTAAGCAATATAAATTTTAAAAAATGCGTCATCAAAAATAGATTTCACCCGCACCCATAGGCAGTTAGTTCTCTTCTCTACTTGCGCTAAAAACTGACACTGCCTAGAAGTTTTCAAATTATAAAAATGTAACCAATAACGATATGTTGTTAGATGGGGCTCATTAAATCTTAATAGTCTCAGTGAAAATATTACTTTATCAACCTCTCACAAGCAAAGAAACGGTCACTCTAATGGTCCCAAATATTTATCTATATTCTACTTTGCAATCTGGGTTATGTCCTATTCTCTCTTTTAATCAAAGTTCCGGATATGAACTTCATTCCTTCATGAATTTAGTATCGCTGAATCCGTCACTTACATAGCCCCGTCTCACTTCTTTACTCACTATCTCCACTGCAGACAGCAGCAGCCGATTTCATCACTTGTCCCTTTGATACCTTCATATCTTGAACCATCAGGCCTTTTTAACTATAGCCGCTGCCCAACGGGATTATAAATATCATATAAAGAGTAGGTGTTCTCTGCCTGAGGCCTTACTTGTTTAGAACCCATTTCTGAGAATTTTTAAAGCAGTGGAGATAATATCTATAAGGTTATTTCTGCCCTTTAAATATAATAAAATTAATAAACTATGACATATTGTCAATGGCTGAAGCAGGGAAATGGCGAATATACGGTAACATTTCTGCCTCTCCAGTTTCTATGTATTAATCTTAAAAATAAAATGGGCGTAAATCTCGATATGAGCTTTAAAATCGAGATTGAGCCAAAAAGGCATCAATTTTTATGTATACCTAAATAGATTAGCTTACATCTTAAAATCAACCTAAAAAAATATAATCTAGAAAATAAACTCTAAAAAAATAAAATCCAATCTCCAGGTTGCATTGTGAATGTTGATGCCAAAATATCTGAGTAAAATTCATTAGGTATATTAAATAAAAATTAGTAATATCAGTAAAAATATATATCAAGTATTCACCCATCATCATACCATGAGAAAAAAATTGCCAAGAAAGAAAATAGTCGATATCTTCGTTATTTCTATCCATAACGATTTTAACTTTTACAAATAGGGTTTATCAGTCTTATATTTTCAAGTTATGATTATGTAAGATCTCATTAAACTTTGTCCATTTTAGATTTGTTTAAAAGATTTCAAGAATGCTATATCTTAAAAGCTTTATATGGCTTGAAGTGAAATAGGGGTCTAGTCTCAAAGTTATTTCTTTTGAGTTGTTAGAAAATATTTAATTCAAGATATTTGTTTATGAGAATAATGACTATACTCTCAAGAATATATGCTTTGAAGCTTAAAAATGGTAGCTAGATAGCTTTACCTCTGCTGTGTGGCACGAGTGCCCAACATTTGAAGTATATTTGAGTTTCCTATGTATTGTTTTTTAATTATATCTCATTGAAAAACACAGTTATAACCTTTGCCATTTAAATATAAAACTATTAAATCATTTATGTCATCAATACACGAAACCATAAAATCATCTTATGCAACATTGGAATTATGTGTAAACCAAGATAATTTCACTCCTTTTTCATTTAACTGTGCATAAAACCTAATAAGTTTGTTTTTATAATCCGTAGATTCAGAATCTAGTATATATGATTATGAAAGATAAGTTTACACCTTTCCTTAAAATTCTTAAAAATTTTTTTTTCGCCCATTGGTTTCCATATTTTATAAGATTCTTTGATTAAATTTATGTGAAATCCTTTAATTAATGTTCATTAAAAAATTAGATTAAAATATTGTCAAATTAATATTATTTATAAATATCGCTGTATGTTTCGACCCATTATCCTTTAAATTATAAATATTTCGTATGACGTCATTACCAGGATAAAGTGAATTTAACTACGACAACAAAATAAATATTAGAAAAATGCATATAGACAAACGTCCAACGAGAATATGACTAATAGAATCCGCACGAGAGAAACATAAATTTATTGTTATTATTACCTATAATACAGTATTAAGAAAATCTCCGTAAAATAGTAAAATTTAGGTAATTGTCACTAGCTTATTTTTATCTCTAGAGTAATTCTGAACATTTTGCAAATATAGCAAATATTAATCTCTTAATACTGCATTAATAGTTAGAGCGAATTCGCAGCGAATTATACAAAAATACTAAGAATAGCAGAATATTTTGTATGCTTCGTATTCTTGCAAACTATGAATGCATGGTAACCCTCATTTACGGTTATAGAGAATTCGCGGTGGATATTTTGAAAATACGGCGCATTTTGTATAATTCGCCACAAATTAACACTAAATATGAATAAGAGGTAAGGCGTAACTTGGGTTTGCTAAATACCTAATCTCTAACCTTACCTGAACACCAGAGCTCCCGTTAGTAAGCTTAGCTGTTCGCTTCCCACCGCGTGAAGGTGGGAGATAGATTTTTGGGAAGCATAGAAATAAAAGAAAGAGGAAACATAGATGTGAAACCCTACTCCCAGTTTTAACCCAAAACATAAATATATTTACTCCATCACATTAACACACCTTTCCGAACCCATACCCCTGATAAAACACAATATTTTATATTATTAAGCATTGAAACTTAAACATTAAATCTCAATTAAAATAAAATATTAAAATCATATTAAACCGGAACCCAACAATTCCCATCCCTACCTAGGAAACCTAACTCTAATCCCACCTCTACTCACTAAAATTGAATATATATATATATTATTAATAGGATAGGATAGGTTAGGATAGATAGGATAGGATAGAATATGATAGGATAGGATAAAATAGAATAGATGAGAATAGAAGAATCAGAATAAAGCGAATAGAAAAGATTAGAATAAATAATAATAAATAAAGAATGAGCAGGATCAGTAAGTCGGATGAAAGTAATAATGAACATCAAAATAACATTGAATAAATTAAATAAACATAAAATACAGAAGAGAGCATTTAAAAGAAACTTTTAAATGAACATTAAAGAAGAAAAGAAATGAAAAGCAATAAAGAAACGAAAAGAAAAGAAAGGAAAATAATGATATGAAAAGCAACAAAGAAACGAAAACCAAAACAAAAGGGAAAGAAAAGAAAAGAAGAAAGCAAGAGAAGACGAAAATGTGAATGAAGCAAAATAAATAAAGCTAATAGAAAGCAAAAAAAATGAAAATATTTAATAATATAATATCGCAAGTTGATAAAAAAAACAGATAGTTAAATAACATAACAAGAAAGAATATAACGGATTAAAATTAGCATAATATAAAAAATAACAGAGCGAATAAAACAAAATCGTACAGAAACAGAATAAAATGCAGAACAGAACTACGATAATATATATAAACATCTCTATAGTGATATACGAAAGTAGAGAGAATATAAGCGAATATATAGAAATTGAACCTCCCACAAAGGTGCAGAAATAATGTAATAAATTAAATAGAAAATGACAGAACGAAAGACAAAATGAACGCATATACAACAAGCATATTAGTAGATATTTAAAAAAAGACCAGAAAACAGATGAGATAAGCCTATAAACCAACCGAACTTAATAAAACATAAGCAAATAATCAATGTTTATAAAATATTTAAAAAATCCACCCTATGCAACTACCACCCCACCTACCACCCTCTATCATGACCTATAATTTAACTCATGCACCAACCCAACCCGACGCCAACCCCTATGAAGACCTAAACCCTTGTATTATAAAACATTAGTAAACAACACATTAACCTCCAATATGCATCAACCCAACCTCTCCCAGATCCCATTCCATTCTTTCCCTACCTAGAAAACCCTCACCCTATATAACAATGCTAAACCTGATATAAAAAATTTATATATTAAATATACTTGAAATGACGATTATTTTTGGGTTTCAGAGTAGCAGCAATAGATTGGTGCAAATAATAACTTTATACGTTTCCATAAAGGCACTGGTCTTGGCGGTGGCGGAGCGATTGAATGGGAGGAAGCAGATGTGTCCTCCTGACAGTAGACAAATGTTTTGTTTAGTTCGTCATCCTTAATAAAATCTGGTTTTGTTTTATCCTTGCCCAAAAGAATATTTTCGAATGATTTCATTGTATGTTTGTAAGCTCTTTGTGTGGTAGTAGAAAACTTTCCGAGATAATATTCTTCAAAAGCAACCTTGGAAGGTTCCTTTTTATACAGGTCAGGGTCGAACATACATTTAGATATGT